AAAACGTCACTAACCAACGCTGATCTCCTGTATCAATGCAATGATGATCATGTTCGAGAGATACTTGGCCGAGACACCGCCACGACAGAAGCGATATTCAGCAGTAGAATCCGACTGAAATGAATTGTTTGGTAGTGGCATTAATTAGGTCCATCAAATTAGTGAATTCAGTCGAATTTAAATTTGGCATATCAAATATCCGAATATTACGGTAGACCACGACAATGACGCGCTCACTCAACATTTGCGAGCCCTAGGCCGTAACTTCCCCACTCTCTAATTGAATTCGAACCTTCAGACCGCGCAAAGATGCTACCCTAGTCTATGTTGGCCCAAACAGCGGTTCATGATGCTAGTGGCCTAGCGCGTTCCGTCTTTTGCCACCCAATAAATAGCTCAAACACCCCTACCCTACGCCCTGGTTCCCTTCGCTCCACATGGCTCGACACCTACCGTCTGGTACGGTTAGAAATCGCAGGCACCGTCATCCTCGAACCTCTGAACTCTACTCTCGCAAAAGAGAGCATAGAGGAAGGTTGAACTAAGTGCGGCGGTCATCTTCTACCGTTTTCTTTGAGGACTGCTCAACTTGTATTGAGGCTGGGCATTACATGCGCATACGTTCTATTTGTATTTGATTTTTTGATCACCTTGAATGAATTTCATCGAATTCCAAAGAAAAATATGAAAGTCTGCGATCTTTTTTTCAGCAAGCATATCTCAGGTAGCTTTTAGGTTTTTTATTTTATCGAAAAAAATTCTTGAAAATCTTAATTGTTCAAAATTCGCTTGACAAATCGAAATTTGATGCTTAAGAAGTTTTTTGTTTGAACAAAAGGTCTCATCAAGTAATGGAGGGGCATGTGCTGTGACAGTTCATATCGCCTAAAGCAACTCAATTTTCCGCAATGGAAGCTCCAGGGCGGGAGCGAAGCAGCAAAAATGCTTCGCACCTCCCGAGAATTTCCTCCTTCGGCAAAAATTGGAACTTCTGCAGACGACAGCATGTGTCGCATCACTTGTTCCCCTCCCCCTCCTTACTGAATGAGACCTTAAAAACACCAGAGTGTTTGATAACTTACTCTATTGCTGCGCGAAGAGGACTGATCGCTGAGATCTTGAGAAGTAGATGGGTGCATTTTCTCCTCACCGAATATGTCACGATCCTTAAAATAATTGATAATTGAACAATGACAAGAGCTGGGAGACGGAATCAAAACTGAAAAAAACCTACTTTTGGACGGATATACCAATGAAAACGTTTGGGTTTGTAGGTGGGCGGTATCGGGTCGCACTTCTCCATCAAGCAGAATCGCCTTGAATCCAATGGAAATCCTGCAAAATTTGAGCTATCTTTTTTTCTTCAGATGGATTCACACCTAATTCCACAAAATACGCAACGCGATACAGAAACGGTGAATGAGAGTTCAAATTATACGGCGGTGAGCCCTTGCTGAGATACGCCACGCATTTCCATTCAGAAACGTAGCAACATTTAAATTAGAGAAGTCCATACCAAAACTTGGTACGAGAACTAGCACATGTGAAGTTCAACTTGTTATCGTATTAGACTACCCAAAGTAGTCTGACAGTAATTAAGAAAGCTTTAAGGTGATGGAGGCAGGTATGTATTCTAGACGGATGTGAATCCTGTTTTCTGGGCTTCAAAGGCGTGGTGGCCAAGTCTTTCTTTAGCCCGCTCCCCCCGCTCTAGATTGCAAGTGGAGCCGTCTTTTGCATTCGATGCGGTGCGCGACACGGACGTGTGCAGACTGCGAATCAAACAGGGGTTCGGCTAAATTAGTCAAGTGAGCAGACGGCGTTAGGGCAACAAATTCGTGGATTCGCAAAGTCTGACACCGGCGGGCCCCCACCATTTCATGATCCTCACTGCAGGGAGTCCGTCCGTAGGAAGGTCGCTAGGACTAAGATTAACGGAGAGGAACGATTCCGTAAAGAATGAGAATTGCTGAGACCACTTCGGCCTGAGCGTTCTCTGAATCTGACGTTATGTTACGGGCTACACCCACCTCCCTCCCCCCCCAACTTGCACCCATAAATTAATATGGAAAAATTCTAGAATGTTAGCCAATCCGTGGTTTGCGCCGGGTGCCTGACACCGGCGGCCACCACTACTTTCATCGCTTGCTGTAGGGCCAAATTTGAAAGATATGGCGTGCATCGTTTTCCCTGTATGCATCCATTTTCAATTTCCGCTCGAATATGCTAGTGCATTTGAATGCGCAGAGCGATATAAAAACTTGTTGGGCCTGCTAATGTCCTTGTCAGCTTATTATCTTGCTTAAAGCTTCATAACGAAGCTAAACCAATCAATCGAATCCGGTTGGAGTAGAGGATGGGTCCTTCCTGGGTGCGGATCTGGGACCTAAGTTCTGGAACTGAGTGCATTTATGGTGCCCCTTGTCACTTGGTGGATCTCAACGAGGTATTAAAGGAAGAAAAAGGAGAAGCCCACGGCGAATTACAGAACGCTCTCCGTAAGGCGTTGGCGAGCCCACCAGAGACGAATGAGGCTAGAATGTGCAAAATGAATAGACGAGAAGCGGCGGAACCTAAGTTTTTGCTGGACACGAGCTCCGCCGCCGACAATGTTTTATTAGCGCGCCGAAGAAATGGACGAGAACAAGGCTGATTCAGATCGAACTTAAGAAAACATTCGTCGCTTCGTCTGGAAGAGAAGCCAAGAAATGTGAAGGAATGCGGAGTATAATAATCGGCGGCAGCCCACGCGGACCGCTCAGAACGTCCGCCGTTCAAGTGCAAGGACAAGAAGATTTCTACGTGAAAAGAGAACTCAGAAGATGGGTGCTTGTTTCAGACAGAATTACATATATGTACGATGAAGAGTTCGCGCCGTGCACTCGACTTTTGTTCGAAATTCTTGGAAGTGAGACCCTCCTCTTTACTGAGTTTGGAACAGTCGACAACTTGGGAGACTGTTGTTCGTTCCAACTAAGTTGTTTTGCTACCAGGCTTCAGAAACAATGGCTAGCTGCTCTTGGCGAATGTTGACACTTTTCTGCCAGTACACGGTAAACAAATAACCATTGAGTCAATCCGTGGCTGGAGACTTGTAGGATCCAACAATTTTTTCTCGGTTTTCTGAGTTCAGGTGGGATAGATTGGCGATCACTGGCTCAGCTCGGTTACCACCTTACCATGAACGAGTCCCCCCATGTTGTTCCTGTTTCGCCTTCTCTGGTATCCTGATTTTCCTGGCTCCTGAAGATTACATTATTTGGTGGTCAGCAATTATTAGCGTGCTTAATTAGCGTCAGACTCGGGTGAGAATAAGGCACAAAAATGAAAATTGGCCGACTTTCAAAGTTTGCTCTATAAGCCTACAATGTTTTCAAAACTATGCACTAAGTACTGAATTAATCTCCGAATCCACGGCGTATCACGAATGAAGACAGATCAAAGCGCAACCTCTCCTATTCGAAAAAACTGGTGCGGAGTTGTCCCACAACGGTGTAACTAGCGGCACTTTTCTTTGACGAAGCGGGAGCGTAACGAGGAATCTGCCCTTCAAACGTTGGGAATCTGACCAGTTGACTAATAGATAATTCTCATATTTTCTCTGCGCGGAAGTGGTGCAGTGGCAGGTGGCACGCTTACCACGCGAGCGGTCCGGGCATCAAAGCCTGAGTCTGACCAAGCCTTCCATCCCTCCGGGGTCGGTTAATTGGTACCAGACTTGTCTGGGAGGATAAAAAACACTGACTTGTACATCGGCTGGCCCCCGCAAGTCATTGTATAGGCCACATCGCATTCAAACGCCACTACGAATGTACAAAGTAGAATGCGTAGAATGCGTGCCGCATCCCAAAAAGGGATTGATCAACGGCAAATGCTTTATCCTTTTATTATATGTTTCTTTAGACTTTCTTTGCTGCACAGCGTCAGGAAGATCGACCTCTTGGGGGCGCTGTTATTCCATGCAAACCCCACACTTAGTCCCCTCATCGCGCAACACACTCGGTCGACGACCTTCTCGTCGGACGAACAAGTAATCTGACTGCGGCTAAGTCGTGGAGGTCAAAATCGCAATCGCCAACCTCTAGCAATGGAATATTGTTGACTTATCGGCGATAATTATCTGTGGACAAAGATGTCACTCATAAAGAAGGCGCGCTATGCAGAGATACTTACGCTCAGCCAAGCTCGAATCAGACGAACGTGGCTGTTGCAGCATTGGATTGGATTAACATTGAGCGATCGGCTCAACTTATCGCTGCTATCACTGGTAAGTTTGCCATACATAGGCTCAGCATTCACAGTCAGGTATAATACCATGATGCTGAAGACCACAAAGAATACTGTAACAGCTTGCAGAAAATCATAGTTTTCACATTTATTTTATAAAAAACACAAAAAGTGTTCCGCACCAGAATTTGAAAACCTGAGTGGAAGTCAAGTGCACGGCGAATTCTCAAGAAATTGCTCAGTCCATCAATCAATTATGTGATGAATCAATTGTCATCAATCATCACCGCAAAATTATTAGTTTTACAGCGATAGCGCGGAGCGCAATGGTGCTGAAAAAACGTAACAGGAAGCCAGTGAAGGGCAATTTTAGCACGCACGTGCTGCTAATTGCATCTGCTGCAAAATTCATGACCTGTAAGCAGGAACGATCAAAGGAAAGCTCGGCTGCGCAATCGGAACTGCGATGCTACACCCTCCCCGTTGTGGTCAAACACTGACGACACTCCTCCGCCGCCCCTAAACGTTCTCTGTGCGCGAACATGACTGATTTTCGCGAACTTTTTCCAACCTACAATCGAAAGGACGGAAGGATAGCTGGCACCAAATGGTTTTCGGAGCTAGTTCGTGGCAATCGTTGAAACGCAAGTCCAGAGAGCGATCCACACAACAACCATGATAGGGTTTTTTTCGCTTTTCCCGAAGTCCATCTGTCTGCATTCCCAACACTTCCCCCCCGAATAAAAACGAAGGGCCATAAAGCCAACTTGTAAAATGTGGCAGTAACTTAAATATCGACTTTGTAGGTGGCGCGACCCTGCCTATTGGGCTGTAGACCACGCGCTTAAGTACCTGAATTTTGCCCCCGAGCGTAGAAATCGCTCAATTGACTAGACTGATTCTTATTTACGCCTTTCAATGTCTCATAAACCATATGGCCAGCTATCATAAGATATGGGGGCATGTGGTGGCAATGCATTTGAAACGTGTCGTTTTTTGTTAGAAACGAGACTAAACCTTGGGAGAGAGACGAGAAACTGAAGGGACTCGAGAAATTATCCTTTCCCCCGAAGTGTTACCCCTCCCAGGCCTAGTCCTGGAAGATGCCCCCGTATCACGCGAGAGCGCCATGGTACAGCGGTCCTTGTGGCGATAGCCCACTCCGTGGTGTGACCGGTCGATGTCGAACGGCTGCTTCCCCTCATCAAGCTTGGAGGACAGGTGTCCTGTCTATCGTTGTTACTTTTCGAAAAATTTTTACGACCCCCTCCCCCAACGTGGATTTGATACGACCCCCCTTTTTACCTCCACCATCTCCATCTTCCATCAAAACCCCGCCCACTTTTTCCTCCAAAAATGCCGTCGAGCGGGGGGGGGGGGTATATAGTCACTCTGAAAAACGGTAAATATCTCCAAAATTCCTTCTATTTCCACCATTTCAACCCATTTTTTACCTATACTCCCACTACTTCCTTTTCTAGGGGGGGGGTATATATTATCATTAACTTCCCCCTCCACTCCCACTCCACTCGCACAAGCCTACTACCCACGAAATCTTAGTTTCTCCTCACAATCCCACGTGATTTCGAGCGACTAAAGTGGGTACGACCCCCCCTCCTACAAACTCAACCAGGTACGACCCCCCCGTTGTTACTCGTAACAACGTAGGGTTGACCCTGCTTGGAGGACAGCCACCTTTTCCCTGTATCATTGTATTTCGGATGGAGCAACCTGAGACCGAAGTAAGGGGCGCTTAAGGCTGGGCAGTGATGCATGTGTTCCTGGTATTATTCCGCGGGTCAGATCGCCAAAGCATGTTGATTTACATAGATCCGACCAACCAGCCATTCGTCCCTTCCGCGAAAAATCACTAGAGTTGATAAATCTTTTCGGATGCGAAAAGGAAATAAGGTCGGAGGATAATTGATGGAGTAAGGGCAGCTTTTTGGGAGAGTTGCTTGTTAGTATTGCAAGTAAAGCGGCACAGTCCAATGAAAAACCCCGTCGCCCCCCCCCCGCTTGATTAATGCGGTAGCATATCGCATTTCATATCAATTGCATGCTCGCCACTAAGCA